ATGGATAAGTTTAAGTAATTGAATTACTAATTTTTTTTTTCCTTTTTTATACAATGACCTTGATGTAGATAAATTACACTTTTTATTTTATTTTTACGAAATATTTAATTAAACATTTAAGATTTTTCTTATTTATAATTAAATAATACGAATATAAAATTTAAGGACAACTTACATTTTTGGGTTGTTACACCTTGTGCCATAAGAGGGAACATTAGATTTATGCTGTGTTTAGTTAGAGGATTTGAGAAAGAATTTAGAAAGAAAAAAAAAATGTGTGTAAAACTAGGTGAAATGTGAATAAAATCACATTTCACCTACTTTTTTTATTTTTCTTTCTAAATCTCTCTTTAAATTTCTCTTCAAATCTCTCAACCAAGCCCAACATTAATAAACACCATTGTCATGTTGCTAAATATGTATCATGTAGATGTAGATGGGTTTGGAATTCAACAATAATTTTGGTTCATTCAATTTTATCAAAAACAGAACTCCCTACTAGCTAGTTTGGGTTTCAAAATTTCAACACATAAACGTCTTTCTTTATCTAGAATCTGGACGTAATGGGCTGCCAGGTTCATAGAAAACTTTTACCAAACTACACTCCCTTCCAAAGCATTTGGCCTTGAAAGTGACAAGGTTCATGCTTTCTCAGCACCAAAATTCTTTAATATTTGTGTTTGAATCTTAAATTTAAAAAAAAATAAAATTTGAAGAAAAAGTGATACAATTTTTAACTTTTATTCAATTTAATTTTCTCTTCTCATTATTTTCTTCTACAAATTTTAACTTTTATTCAATTTAATTTTCTCTACTCATTATTTTCTTCTACAAATTTATGATCTAAACACAATGAGATAGAAGTTTACGATTGAAGGTATGATAGATTTAACTTTTATTCAATCTGTTTTTCTCTTCCTTCTTTCATTTTTTTCTCAACTACTTGATCTAAAACACAGCCTACGAAATACCTTTTATGGATATTTTTGTCTTAGGTATAGCATTTCTTGTGTGTAATTTGTGCCTATCTTTTGAACATCTTTTGGGATTAAATTATTTATTTGGCCCTAAATTATGTTACTAATTTCAATTCAGACCTTGGTTACATTTTGTCACTACTACTCCTGCAACTATAAAAATATTTTAATTTCAACCCTCCATCTACCTTTAGGCTTTTAAACTGAAACCTACACTTAAAAAGAAGAAGAAGAAGAAGAAGAAGAAGAAAAAAGAAGACATTTATAAAATAGCATAATTTTCTTCATTTTTTATCAATCAATTATTTGCCCTAGAATTTTATTAGACACCACAACAAATTCATTGGGTAGTAATAAAAAGTTCAAGAAAGTGTGATGCTTGATGAAATTTTGGAGGCAATTAGTGAAAATGATAGAAGTAGATAGTTGAGAAATTATGCTATAAAATGTAGTTAAGGTGCTGAATTGATACGATTACATATTTCATGGGGCAACAGTGTAATTTACTCCTTTTGGAGGTAAAGCAAGATCAATTTACTTTTGTTTGGAAGGAAAGTCATTTTTTAATTGATGAATCAAATTATAAGGAACTACATATGTATTACAATCATAATAAAAATTAAATATAACCCATTGATTGAAAACTTTAACACATTACACAATAGAAAAATATAAAAATATAGGTGGATTACCAAATTGCAAAGCTTGGACCATCTCCAATGGTTTATCAAATTTAAATTTGATGAAAAAGCTTAGTTTTTGTTGCTTGGCTATTCATCAAATAGATTAATTAAATTCAGGATTTCTCAAGTCTTTCATCAAATTGAAAACGGATGTACCTTTTATCAAATCATTGCTCATTGTCATTAGATTTTTACCATTGGATGTTTCCTCGGATAATCATCGCAAGGCAAAAATTTGTAAAAAATTTATACTAACCAGTTGACCGGCCAAACATTCGCTTGGTTGTCCGTTCGGTTGACCGGTAGTTTGATGAAGCTCCGTTAAAGCACTTGATATCAAAGGAAGATTTTACTCAAATTTATTGAAAAAAAAAAGAAAAAGATAAAGGGTTGAAAATGCTCTAAGGAAAGCCTCTTTGTTAACTTGCCATATCAAACCTCCCAAATTTGGAGTGGCAATGAAATGAAAGAAAAAAGAAGAAAATAAAGCTTTCTATAAAGGAAAAAGACTACAAAATAAAAAAAAAAAAATTCACAAGAAAATAAAATAAAGAGAAAAAGTGGTCATTATTAATTAATTTAATAATATATTTTTTCCCAGACAATAAATTACAGGATTTAAAATATAACATTACTTCATAAAGTCAAGATACAAGCTAATACGACCTATATAGATTAATAAATCTAACTTACATGACGTTGTGTATGTTACTCAAATAATAAGAGAACATATGATTATTGTATCAGTATTCTTATTATATTTTCTTGTACATGAAAAAAAATACAAAAACAATTAAAAATTAATAAGAAAATGAATTCCAATATATACACACTTTAGACATTTTGGCTATCAAGATAAAATAAACGACTCCTTTAATGGATATAATTGTACTCAATTGATACAATTTAAAATTTATAGAACAAAATTAATATAATTGAACTTAAAGATTGTTTTAGAAATTAATTTTTTTAAATAACTTTTTAAAATTCTTTACCAAAAAAAAAAATGTATAAAAATATTTAAAAAATTAATTTTTTGACTTTTTAACTGAAATATATAATTTTCAAAATAGGGCTAAAAGGGTATGAGATAGATAAATTACAAGAGCCAATGATATAATTTAAGAGATTTACGTGCACGTCTTAATAAGTAGGCTTATTGTTTAATAGGTCATACGATAATGGTAGTTTTTATCAAATACTATTAAAAAAATGTCACAAATTGTTAATTTTTAGCAACAGTTTAAAAATTGTCACAAAAAATGTCACTAATTATAAATTATAGCAACAATTTAAAAAATCGTTAAAAAAAAGTTACTAATTTTTAACTTTTAATGACAGTTTGAAAAATTCGTCACAAAAAAGTCACTAATTATAAATTTTAATGAAAATTTATAAAAATCGTGACAAAAAATGTTGTTAATTATTAATTTTGAATGACATGTGTAAAAAATTATCACAAAAATTTATTATTAGTAATGATTTTATTAAAATTTATTTTCAATAGATTTTAATAAAAATGAAATCTAATTATTAAAATTTAGGAAAAATTAGTGAAGGGTCCCTCTTCCACTTTTCATAATGGAAGAGGTCCACAAAATTATTTTTTGATGTCTAAGATCCCTGAACATATCACAGAGAAATTTAACCTTACCAAATCAAAACTCATGTCTCTCTCTCTCTAAACTTCTCCATTCTCCAACCGATTGAGCTCTATGATCTATATATATATTGTGGGTGTGATCTGATTGGGCGGCTCTACGAACTCGTGCTCTTTTTCTCTTATCTTCATCGTATTCTATCTATTCTGTTACTCATCAATGGAAGCTAGGGTTTAACACCGGCGAAGATGGAGTCGAAGGAGGTGTGTGGTGGGAGTATGATCAGAGCATTCTCATTCTGGTTCGGATTGTCCTTTTGTTACTCCAATCCTAGAGCCGCAGTCACAGCAGCAGCAGAAAGCCCCCAAGAAGAGGGGGAGAAGCATCGTCTCTGATCGGAATTATGGCACAATGAAGCTGATAGATGGAGATTAATCAAATCAGATTCCATTTCACACACCAAATAAAAGTCAGCCTCTCTGCAGATTAGACGATTCAACAGAGCTCCAATGAGGTTGTAAATATATATATATATATATATATAGAGAGAGAGAGAGAGAGAGAGAGAGAAATGGTTTGGGGTAGTGGTGAAGAAAACATGTAGAAGGATGAAGATAAAGTTGTTCATGATGACAATCAGGTCCGTAATCAGCAAGAATATCCCATATTGCAAACAATTTCTACAATTTTGACAATTCCCCAGGTTATTTGGAAAATCACTTGAGGAGAATTCACATTTTTCCAAAGCTTAAATTTTGCTCAAACAAAACACTGTATTTTTCTGAATATTAACCGAACTACAAGTTATTTCGTAACACAATTGTTGATGAATCATCGATTTTCTACAACATTTTTGGGAATTCACACATGCCTGGGATTCTCATCAGTATCAGTTCCAACATATGTCTTCCAGAACCAATGGTTTTGAAACAAAAAATGTATCTCTTCAATTGGAACTTGCTTTGTTTTAGGCAAGAGAAAAAAGATGAAGTTGCTCATGATGAGGATTTCTCTCCAAAGAAAATTTCATCTACAGAATTTCTCTGGACTTCCTAGAGAATTTCTCTCCAGAGAAATTCTGGGAATGTCAGAGAAATTCTCTAGTTTTCACAAGAAATAAGAATACAAATCCAGATTTACCCTGAAATTTGGATTGATTTACGTTCGGGGATCTAACAGAAGCAACATTAATGTGATGTTTGAGGATTGGATTGATCCTCTATTGGTTGAGGATTGGATTGACCCTCTCTCTCTTTCTCTATTTAATGTGTTTGTGTGTGCATTGTTTTTCTCTGGTTTGGAGTCCAGAGAAATTTTAAATTTCTCTGGGAGAAAACTAAAGAAATTTGCAAATCAGAGAAATTTGAAGAGAATTAGACTAGAGAAATTCAAAATTTTTCTGGACTCAGCCAATGCATTAGAGAAATGCTGAGAAATTGTAGGAAGAATTGGGCCAAAGAAATTCTGAGAAATTCAGAATTGCTGTAGACTTTCCAGAGAAATTTGGTCCAGAGAAATTTACGAATTTTCTCTGGATTGAAATTTCTCTGGATCAAGGTTGAGGGACCTTAGATATTATGAAAATATTTGGTGTCCTTTATGCTATAAAATCATAATATTAGGGACCTTAAAAAAAAAGCCCCTAAAATTTATTAGTAGTTTATTCCATCTAATGTGAGAAAAACAGTAAATGACATAACAAAAAAGGGCATTATTGTAACTTTACCATCCCTTCCTTGTATAAAATAAATCCTCTCACCCTAACAAATCGTTCCAGTTTGGAGAGAGAAGAAACAGAAAGCATTTGCCAAACTTTAGTCCTTTTGTTTTGCTGAATCTGTTTTCTTACTCGACGGAAAACACCCAACACCACCCATAACAGCCACCGCCACCGCCACCGCTGACCTGTAAAGGGGTCGGAATTGGGATACAAAACCGCACAACCGTCGAAGCTAATGACTGATTTCATCGGCCAGTGTGGAGGCTACGCCGTCATCGACGGTGGCCTCGCTACAGAGCTCGAACGGCACGGTGCTAACCTCAACGACCCTCTCTGGAGCGCTAAATGCCTCGTCACTTCCCCTCAACTTATCAGAAGGGTAACCCAACTCTCTCCTTCTCATATTTTCACTTTGGTTTGTTTTGACAATTAAAAAAAAAAAAAGGGATAAATTACAAATGCACCTTTAAAATTTGATTAAAATACTAATAGTCCTTAGTTTTGAAAATTATATTTTACTTTTAAGGTTTCTAATTTCACAGTAAATTACTCATTTTATTATATATTTTAATTAATAATTTAGATAATTTTATTATTATATAAAAAAATAATTATGAATTTTAATTTTTTAATTAATTATGTTAATTTTTTAAACGTGTGGAAAAGTCAATTTTTTTTTTCATGTTTCCAAAATAGGCATGTCTCTGTTTCTTAGGGTTGGTTTGTGACGTGGATTGGTGTTTTTTTTTTTGGCTTTTTGACTGGGGTTAAAAAAATTTGTTGGGGGTGAATTTTTTTGTCTTTTTAAGTTTTGTGAAAGAAAAAAATGATAGAATTATAATTTAAATGTAACATTTTATTTTATTAATTTTTTAACTTATGTTATTTATTCATAATTATTTTAACCTAAATCATTATGCTAAACGAGTGCTTACTCTTTTTACTTTTAATATCCGGTGTGAGGTTTTTTTTTTGTTCATTGCGAGAATAAGGTCTTTCCAGTCATGTTTTGAAAGCAAAACTTAAAGTGAAGTTATGTTTTTGAAAAACAATTTTAGTTCTGAAAAATAAAGTTGAAAACAATCTGGATTTGAGAATTTTGTTTTAAAAATAGCATGAGTTTGATAAAAATCTTCTCTGGTGTTGAAGATGTTTTTGGTTTTGACAATGTTTCTGTTTTATACAATAATCATTTATAGAGTACGGGAAATTCTACTCTTATACCATATACCTCTCTAATTATATTATTATTTTTTTAGTTACTTATGAAATTTTGGTTATGTCAAGGTTATGATTTTTTTAAATTATGATTAAGAAAATTTATGTCATTTTTTTTTTAATTATAATATGTATATGTACCCTAGCCTTTCCCATACTCATATGAAATTTCTCTGATTCTGCTCTGTTTTTGGTTTTGAAAAACAGTGTTCTATATATGACTATAAAATCTTATATGCTTCCTATGTGGTTGTTTGGCAATTTTTTTTTATTTGACTTTTTGGAGTTGGCACTTTGGCTTATTTTGACAATTGAATTAAAAGTTATCCTTTTAATTTTTATTTTATTTTATTTTTTCTTTAAATCACATCATCTTTATTTTATTTTATTTTATTTTTTGTATATTTTTTATAAAAAAAAGTTAAAAAAAGTCAAAAAAATAGACTTGTAATTTACTTTCTAAAATAGGTATTTTTTTAGCTTGGATTAAAAATATCCTTTGACAATTTTTTTTAATTTTTTAAATTTTATCAGAGAAAAAAAACTGAAATAATTATAATTTAAATATGATATTTTATCTTATTAATTTATTTAATAAAATAGGCCTATCAAAATGAAGTTTTCTTTTTGAATTTTAATTTTTTAACTAAGAAAATATCTCAACCAAGATGTCCAAAGAGAAAATCAAGAAAAAATTAATTCAGAAGGATATCAAAAGAAATCAGGAAAAAAAAAATTAAGGAATTTTTATTGATAAGTAAGGATCCTCTAGAGTGATTTTTCCCTAAAGTTTCCTAGAGTGCTACATTGTGTGGTTGAGATTTACTGACAAGTCACATCAATTTTTCTGATGTGACTTGCCAGTAAATCTCAACCACACAATATAGCACTCTAGAAAACTTTAGGAAAATTTCACTCTAAAGGATCTTTGGTGCCAATTTAGAAGTGTTTTAACCCAAGAAGTCGATGAAGGAATTTTTTAACCATTTAGTTCCATGTATGTATATTTTATTCCATAAAGTCCATTTTCTTGATTTACACCATTTTCTTGGACACTTATGCCCTTATATTTAATTTTGATACCCTTATAAATATTTTTTGAACGATTAGCAATTTAATGATGTGAACATTCATATTTTAAAATTCACATTGGTAGGAATGTAAAATTGGCCCGTGGGCGGCCCGAAACCCGGCCGCGAGCCGGGGCAGGCCCGGCCCGTTGACAATGTGAATATTCACATTGACATATTAACAATGTGAATGTTAATATGTCAATGTGAATATTCACATTGTCAACGGGCCGGACCGGGCCCGCAACGGGTTGCCCATGGGCCACAGGCGGGTTTCGCGTCGCCACGGGACGGGGGGCAATTTTACACTTCTATTAATGTGAATGTTAATATGTCAATGTGAATATTCACATTGTGAACGGGCCGGTCCGGGCCCGCCCCGGGCGGCGGGATGGTTTCGGGTAGCCCACGGGCCGCAGGCCAATTTTACACTCCTAACAATGTGAATGTTAACTTGTCAATGTAAATATTCATATTATCAACAGGTCGAGCTGTGCTTATTTTTTTGGCCTGTGGGCCGGGCCGGGCTGGCACGACTCGAATTTTTCCGGGCACCCACGAGGATCGACATGGGCCGGGCCCCTACACATTGACGATATGAATATTTACGTTGACGGTGTGAACATTCACATTAGGGATATTTTGATAATTATGAAATAATTATAATTTAAATATGATATTTTATCTTATTAATTTATTTAATAAAATAGGCCTATCAAAATGCAGTGTTCTTTTTGAATTTTAATTTTTTAACTAAGAAAATATCTCAACCAAGATGTCCAAAGAGAAAATCAAGAAAAAATTAATTCAGAAGGATATCAAAAGAAATCAGGACAAAAAAAATTAACTCATTCTTTCCCAAATATCCACTCATATTCCACCATAAAAAAATATTTACAAAAATATGAAAATGTGAATCACGCTTGTTGTACAAGCAATATTTTTAATTATTTTTTTACTTATTTTTGAATAATTTATAATTCCACATTTAAAAAAACAATAATTTATTATTCTCTATATGAATATCAATAACGTGAGATCGTAATTAGACATTGCTGTCTTTTATAAAAATTTAAAAATGTATTGTTATTATTATATTCTGACAGCGACGTGGCCTAGGTTATCCTCCTCTCCACCTAATTAGGTTTCTTCCAAATGACTCATGTTTTTTCAAGACAGTTGTTCACTTCATGCAAACGATTATTTTACATCTATTATACAAGTATTTTTTTTTTTGATATTCGAGTATTCAGGTCAGTTTTCGCATACGTCGATTAATATTGGGATTTTAAAATTAATGACGGGACAAATCTTCAGTGATCCTAAGGTGAGACTCGGACTCGAAATCTGTGAATTTTATCCTACAGGTTTTACCATTCGGCCACTTGCTTGGGATTCATCTATTATATAGTATAATATATATTTTAAAACTATTTTCAAACTATTTGTATAAGTATGGAGTTATTTGGGATGATTTAAATAAGTATATTTTTTTAATTTTTACAAAAAAATATACAAAAAAATAAAAAATTAATGTAACTTAAAAATATAAAAAGATAAATAAGTGTATTTTTTTAGTATAACCCAAATATATAGTTTACAATAATACACTACTCCCATAAAAAAATACGACAATATAATATTATCATATTGCAATTATAAAATAACGAGGTTGGATTATTGGAGGAAGATAATCTAATAATGGTAGAAAATATTTTTTGATGAAAAATCATTTTGCACGGAATAACTTTCGTAAGCAATACTTTTAGTCGGTGGAGGTGGTGTCAGGTGACGTGTGATAGGGTGGTGGTGATGGTAGTGCCAGCCTGGGAAGGTGGTGATGTTTTAGTTTAATAAAAATTATTTTTTACTTATTAAAAGAAAAAACATTTTCTAGTAAACTTGTTTTTACGTTTTTGATTATACCAAATATCAGAAAAAATGCAACGCCCAAATAAGCGAGTGTAAGAGCACCAGCATCATTGCATTTTGTTCTTGGTATATTTCACTTAAGGCCATGTTTGTTTGGGCGGACTGGATTAGCATTCCCATGACTAATAGTTCTAGGACTACGAATTCGTTGGATTATGTATCCTATCTTAACTAATAGTCAAGTTTAAAATAATTAGTTCGTACTTTAATTGTTTAACCAAATATCGGATTAATAATTTTATTAGACTATTAGTCTAATCCCAAGCTCATGTCCACCCAAACAAACATGGCTTAAATGTTCCTGAAAACAGGGCAATTTTAGTCAGGTTTGGATTCAGACCAAAAAAAAGTTGGGTTTGGACCCAAACAGTGGTTGTTTGGCTAGAATTTTTTGGCCAAAAAAAGTACAAAACGATAAAATATCACATTCAAATCATAATTATATTTTATTTTTTCTTTAACAAAAATTAAAAAAATCAAACCAAATAAACTTTTATTCCCAAATTAAAATAATCAAAAAGTCAACTAAAAAAATCAATTGTCAAACGGCAGACTGTTGGTGGATAACTTGACCTGTCAATTATAATAGACCGATTGTACCCATTAAATATAAATGATAAATTTTTATCGAATACACTCTAGATAATCTTTGCTCGCGTGAAAATACACCTATATATTAGTTAGATCAACAATGTAAAGAATGCAAACATGTATTTGGTATTTCACTCACTCATATCTCTATCTCCCAATAATTCTCGAGGCTTTTGTGCTATGGAATTAGAGTGTTGCTCGATTTATCATAACACTTTCGTGATTCGTGAGTAGAAGAAAAAAAACAAATGCGTAAATCATTTCTTTTTTCTTTCTAAAAGAGAGAGAGCCATAAATGGGTATGTTTTTTCTTGATGTGAAGGCTTTGAGCTGTGGGATTAATATTGTTCGATTCATTATTTAATGCACTGTATGCTAGTAGAAAAAAACGAATGTGAATCAATTTTTTAGTTCGTTCTAAGAAAAAAAAAATCATAAACAAGAAAAAAAACCATAAACGGGTTCTTTTTTTCTTGAACCACTCCTGCGTCATTTTGATTTCCTGCACAGATTAGATTCAGTTCAAGCAAGATTTTCTTGTATTCGTGTGTGTGCCTGTAACTGGGTACTTTATATGACAGGTGCACCTTGATTACCTTGAAGCCGGTGCAAATATCATTATATCTTCATCTTACCAGGTGATGATGTCGTCTCTTCTCGTCTTCATTCTAGTTTAATACAAAAGATAACCATCATGTCAGGGGCGGTCCTTCCACTAGGCAATTTAAGTGCTCCTAATAAGGCTTCAAATTTTCTGAGACCTCAAAACAGGAGTCTTGAAAGTGCTTTGTGCATGTAACAGGCTACACTTCAGGGATTTGAGGCAAAGGGCTTATCGAGAGTAGAAGGAGAAGCTCTGCTTAGAAAAAGTGTTGAAATAGCGTGTGAGGCACGGGAGATATATTACAGCAGAGACGCCAAAGTTTTTTCGGATGTCATAGAAAACAGAGAGAATCTGAAACAACATCCAGTCTTTGTGGGAGCTTCTGTGGGAAGTTATGGAGCTTATCTTGCTGATGGTTCAGAATATAGGTGTGTTTCTCATATTTTTTCTCTTGATTTGCATGCTAATTTAAGTTTTTTGTTTTAAGCTCGAGCTCACGTTTAGCTCATTTATGTAATTGAGTTGACTCGAGCTGAGCTTAAGCTTGATTTTTTAAGCTGAATTTGAGCTCGAGCTCAACCAATTTTCAGCGAGGTGAGCTCAAAATTCTCAAAGCTTACCTCATCTCGTTCGCAACCCTAACCACAAGGCTGCGGTGGGTAGCAGGTGCCATTGCGCTAGGTCATGACATATCTAGAAGATACATAACCCACCCACCCCCCCAAAAATAAATAAATAAATAAATAAAATAGAATAAAATTGGAGTGAAGAGGTGGGTGATTTTAGACTTAAAAACTGGCTCAATTAGAGTAGGATCTATGGCGACATCATCATCACTGCAGAAAGTTTGGAAATTTTACTCTGGTCTTGATTGATGTTTTTGGTAATAACATGTATTGCTGCTGTCCCCCTTTACAGTGGGATCTATGGTGATGCTGTCACTTTGGAAACTTTGAAAGATTTTCACCGGAGGCGGGTTCAAGTTCTAGCTGAATCGGGAGCTGACCTAATTGCATTTGAAACCATTCCAAACAAATTGGAAGCCAAGGTACTTTCTTCTGATGAGTTCGCCATTTAAGCCAAGTTTAGGTTCTAGCTGAATCAGATGTTTTATTTCTTGATTTTTGTCGGGTTTTAATGCAGGCCTATGCTGAGCTTCTTCAGGAAGAAGACATAAAGATACCTGCCTGGTTTTCTTTCAATTCTAAGGACGGTACTAATGTGGTGAGTGGTGATTCAATATCAGAGTGTGCCTCAATAGCTGATTCATGTAAGCAAGTTGTTGCTGTTGGAATCAACTGTACCCCACCCAGGTTTATTCATGGACTGATTCAAGCAATTCGAGAGGTATATTGATGATTAAATTTTAAGGTTTATTTTTTTATTTTATTTTATTTATTTATTTATTTTTGTGTGTGTGGATTCGGATACCTATTGAGATACTTAATGCTTTTATCGCTAATTAATCTTTCAGGTAACAGCTAAACCGATACTTATATATCCCAACAGTGGTGAGACCTATGATGCTGACCGCAAGGAGTGGGTGGTGAGTCATCTCCTCTCCTTGTCTCTACATTCAAAAATTTCAGTTGCCAGGCCTCTTGAACTCATCTTCTATGAAATTCAGTCTTAGATCATTAATTTCTTGGTTTGGATGAATTAAACTAAGCTAGGGTTTGCTTTTTATTGGGAAGCCCTAGCATAATACATGTGAGTTGATTTAAGGTGTTATAACAATGCTCGCCTAAAATGTGTTTTAGGGTTCCAAAACCAAAAGCTTGATATGAAGCAATTGCTAAGATTCCATGCACTAATGAATAATCATTCAAAATTGCTTCACATTGATGATTCGAGTGTCATAGTTGGAGGAAAAATGATTTCTCTCATGCAGTTTGAATCAATTCTCAGTTTTATTGTTTCTGTCATATTTTCGTTATATCATAGAGCTTTGAGTCAGAATTCACTTCTAGGCGATTCTAGACTCACATTAGTGGGAGTTTCATGTTTGTACTGCCTCCAGTAGACATTTGGATTTGTCAGATCCTTTTTCGTGTGTGTTTCGTATACTGCAAAAATGTTGAAAGTGTTTCATTGCAGCAATCGACTGGAGTTGTAGATGAAGATTTTGTGTCGTATGTTGGGAAGTGGTGTGAAGCCGGGGCTTCTCTTATTGGAGGTTGCTGCAGGACTACCCCTAATACTATCAGAGCTATATCTAAGGCTCTCTCCAGCAGATCTTCTTCTGTTACCACTCTGGAGTTCTAGGACTGACTTTGTGACAGATTGGAACAAACATGTACTCTTTTTAAGTTTCTGTACGAAAAAAATACTAGTCTTCAGTTTTTATGTATGTGCTTGCCATGCTTACATTGGTTTCATGAATAAGAAACAATAAATTTAATAAAATCTAGATCCAATTTCAAACGCAATGGACCAGGTAGTAGTTAAAAGAGACCACGGACTTGCACATAAAAAATCAGAGCTTATACCACAAGTGAAAATATGATACAGGAAAAGAAATAAAATAGAGTAACAGAAGAAATAAAGAAAGATGGAAAGAAGTGAATCACGAAAAAATTGAATTATGTTTCAATGAATTCACCAATCAAGGCCACGGCTAATGATATTCGGAAAATAAATTTAAAAAAAAAAGAAGAAAAAGAAAATAAAACCCCTACATACCAGTGGTGCTGAGAGAATAGTTTTCCTGTACTATCTTCATAGTCTAGGGAAAATGGGATCAATAAAAGCATGGGGCATTGGGTCAGAGAGCCAGAGTTTTGCTAGATGATGATGGGATGTGGTGCCGCGATGAACTTCTTCAATCAGCCAAATGTTGGCTTCAGCTTTACAAGGATGAAAGATGGTATCCAATGGTCTATCTTCATCCTCGCCACCAATTCTCATTTTGTCCCACTGGATTAGCAGAATATTGGTGAGATAATGCAGGGGTTGCCCATATAACTTCTTAATGGATTTGGATAATCCAGTCCATGAGTTAAATGGAATAACAGAACCGCGAAGGGTGGGGATTGGAATCTGCTTCATATAGTTTTGATACATTTGTGCCCTTCTGATCACCGTTTCTGCATTGTAAAACACAGTTTGTGCAAAACAGTGATTGTGAGAAAGTAGAGAAGTCATATGATGATGATGAAGTAAGGCCAAACCTTCAACATGGTTTAAAAAAATACAAAACATCTCAGAAATTTATTAAGATCGGGGAAAAACCTTCAATATGTCGTGGTGGAACAGTAAGTTGTAAAAACAGTTCAATAACCGATACAGAAACCTGGCAAGATATGATGTGTGTGAATACCTTCAGAACTTTTTTCTTCGGGAGGTTGATCAATTGTGAAGTTGCTATTTGACTGGTTGCTGCCAGACCCATCATCATTTGCATCAGAAGAAGAAGAGGATTCGTCTGATAATATGACATCCACCTGATCATCCCATGCTATTGATCTCTTCATGCTTTACAGAAATGCAGTCTTGGATTGAAACAATCACCTATTAGGTACTTCAATAGGAGAAAACCTTCACACAGTTGAAATGACGAAAAATAGACTAAAGTGCTAACCATAAAGCACTAATACCTTACAACTTTACATCTATAAGATGGAAGAAATTCAATAGATTACAAACTGCTAAGGAAAATGCTACCCTAACCTAGAATTTATGCAAAATTTATTTACAAACTGGTGTAACAGCTTACAAATATTTGCCACATCAGACTATGCTTAAATTGATTCTACCCCAGATAATGAAATATCGTATATATTTATACATAAATACTGGCCCTTTAACCATTGTACTTTTTTTTAAAAATCAAAATTAAACAAATAGTGTACGGACAAACTCATTCCCAAACTACAGTCAAATGTGGTTAGCAATCATGTTTTTCTTGAAAAGTGTTATTGTTAATAATGTTTTAATTTTGAATACAAAAAATGTAAAAGGGTTGACGAACCCATATATATAACTATAAAGTATCTCTAGAGGTGTAAAACACTTTCAGACCAGAATTATACAAAATTGAACTATATAATCAAAACAACATCCTATATAGCTGCAACAAATTTGCTACAAATCAAAATTATATATACCTCATAACAGGTCTTATCAATCATGATGCCACATTATTGTGAAGGATACAGTTTAATTCAATTCCATATCATTAACTCCAAAATTCTTTTAATTTGGTTTAGCATTGCCTATTTTCACTTTCAATTAATCGAATTTCATGTGAGAGTGCTTTTAAGTATCATGGTGTTAGTTTCCCAAGATCTATGTTTTGTTTCAAACATTCAACAAACTGGAGAAGCAACTGGGCTAACCAGAACCAAATCACCATATCTTACTGACATCATAAATCCATTGATCTTAAAACTATTCCCATTTGCTTAAAATTCAGCATAAGAAAAAATTCCCACTACCAATGATCTTAAATTGTTTCTCAACTTCGCTGTGTCACACCAAACATAGTAAGAGCATCTCCAACCCACTAGATATATAATGCTTGTTAGTTAAAATGCCTAGTATAACTCATTTTTTTCAACTCCAATGCACTAGACATATGATTAGGCATTTTAGCTCAACTCATATTCACTAGCTACATGTAGCTAGCTTTCAAGGCTAGGCAAAATGAGTTTAATCATTAGGATCATTTCCCTCCATCTTTGTTGCTGATGTGGCATTTTCTAAAATTAATAGTATTTAGATAAATAGCTAAAATAAAGAGCATGGTTGGAGTAGAAATATGAAATAATTGATAGGCAAAATAAAATATATACTTTATAGTAATATTTAAATAGGTAAAATGCCTATTACCGTTGGAGATGCTCTAAATGTTGCAATTTTGATTACATAAAACACACACACACACACACACACACAAAAAGATAAAATACAAAAAACAAAAACAAAAACCCATTTAGAAGAACTAAACTTTGATTGAAACAACCGTTCCTATTTTCTAAAATCACAAGGAAGTTGGTCAATAATTCTTATGGATATTAAAACTTACCCAAAAGAGTGCAGAGGGGCAAGAGACGAATTTGATCCGAAAGCTCTTCGAAGTGGTGAATAATCACAGAAACACCATCCCTGCAGGTAAGAAACACAAGAAGAAGCTGAGAAAACTGAGGATCTGAAATGGAATTGTGCTATAACAGAACATAACGATGAAACAGAGAATTCATGTTGATTATCAACAACACAATTATACCAAAATGTATACAAATAAATCGCCTAAGCAAGATACGTAGAGAGAGAAACCTTGAGATGGATAACTGTTCAGCAATTCAACTGTTAATTCTTGAACCCTAGGGCCATTGTTTTGCATTGCGGTTTGTCCGGTTCACAATCATTCGTCACTGGGTTGACCCCGAACTCATATATTAAAAAGAAAATATCATAAAATATATATATATATTTTTTAATTTTTAGATTTGATTCTACGACAATGCTACGTAACTCAAATTTTGTGGCTCAAATGGCCAAAACGACGTCGTTTTGAGTACAAAACAACATAAAAATGGCCAAAACGATCGTTTTGGCCATTTGAGTCACTTTTAAGCCACAAAATTTGAATTACGAGACATTTTTCTTGATTCTATTACAATGAATTCCAATCTAAAGAATATTAAATACAATACAAATATTTTTACAAAGAAATTTTTAAAGTGGGAGAAAAAATTTCAATTAATATATTGGGTAGAGATTCAAATTATACCGACCTTTGAGTGAGATGCAGAAGTTCTGACTAATCGAACCAATCCATGTTATAAAATTAAAAGTTAATAACTATATAATTGAGTTGGCACACAATATATATACATACATATATTAAGTGCATTTTATATTTTAAAATATAAAATATATATATACATAATTTGATTATTCTCTCCATCCTAAAGTAATGGTCTCTTTTAGAAATCTAACTTTTTTGATAGTACAATTATTGAATTTAAAAAAAATTAATTTTTTAAAATTACCCTTTGATAGTACATTTTTTTTGGAGAATATCAATGTCATAATTGTATTTTTTATATTATTAATGAATTTAAAAGAAGGCAAAATAAGAAATTTATATTATTTTTGTACTTAATTTTGGAAAAAGAACTAATATTTTGAGATAATGAAAACTGAAATAAGGGACTAATATTTTAAAACGGAGGAAGTATATAATTATCTCACACATAAATGTCACATTTCTGTTGGGCTTTGAGTTGGACTATATTTTAGCCCCATTGAACACGAGGTCCATCATTGAACCATATGCAGTCCAATCTATTTGACTTTAAGCCCAGCCCACTATAAATTTGGTAACGTACAAGCATTCATATCATTGTGATTGTGAAAGAAATTAAAATTTTTGTTGGTGACAATTTAAATAATGAAACTTACGTCAAAGTTTAAATCTTATTAATTATCAAAATAATAGTACTTAATTTACACACACAGTTGCTTTGCTAGGTATTGTCTTTTTCAAATCATTTTGTGAGATTATGAGACTTATCATTGTTGTAAGAGAGATGATAAACTAAATAATATATCTAAAATTTTGAATTTGACGGCAACTAAAACATTGTACGTTTCTTTCCTGTTGATTGTACTGTAAAACTGACAACTCAAGGAATCATGTAGCAAAACAAGATCCCCTCCTTAACTTTTTTCCATGACTTTTTACTTGTAGTGCTATTGGGTATATTTTTAGGCTTAATTTTTATAATTCAAACCGTTTATATTTTAAAATTTGTTGATTATATTATATCTGTAAAAAATCAAATTGATCAGATATCAGAAAGTATGTGTTCGGATCATCGAATTAAAAATCATTTTTTAAAAAATTTAATAAACAGTTTTTCGAATACATACTTTTTGATATCCGATCAACTTGATTTTTTACAGGTATAATATACTTAACAAATTTTAAAATGTGAACGGTTCGAATCATCGAAATTAAGCCTAAAAGTGAGCCCAATTACCTAGCAAGTAAGAAGTCAAGGAGAGTAGGTAAGGAGAGGATCCTGAGTCGCAAAACATTCGGGATAGAACACAATCCACAATTAAAAAACAAAAAAAAGGGGGGCCAATATGTGGTTGGATTTTGGCAATCTTCTCTTCCATTCTTTTATGGTGGTTGAATTCCTTTAATGCATGGAGAGGGACATGCCATTGGGGGGGATGGATGTGATCCCAAGGATGATGCCATTGAGTTATTAGTGAATTTATCCTTGGAAAATGAAATTTTAAAAAAAAAATTATACAGAAATTCAATTAGAATGATATCATAATGATATTTTTAAAGGGGTAAATTACACTTGTAATTTTTGTAATTTGTATCATGTATCAATATAGTTTTTATAATTCTAATTGCTTTAATTTTGTCTTTAAAATTTTCATATTGTATTAATTTAGTTAAAATGATAATGCCTCTTCAAAAATTAAATTAAAATTAAGAGATAAAATAATCTATTAATTCTTTTTAAAATGATTCAGCATTCAATTTAAAATGGTCAATTCCTTCATAATGAACCAATTTATCCTTAATTTCTATCCAATTTTTTTATGAATATTATTACTAATTAGGCAGAATTAAAAAATTAAAGGCAAAATTAATATAATTAGATAAATTACATAGATCACATGTATAATTTGTTCTTTTTTAAAATAACAGGCCATTTTGAAGAGTCTTCAGTTTAAAATAATAAGAAGATCTAAATGTGTAATATCATTCCATTAAATTTTCAAAATAAAATTTCCTTTTCTTCTGTTTATGTATCATTAAATTTATGATAGAGATATGTCCATTTCGCATCCATTGCAATCTCTAACTAACGAGAAATCATGGCATTCAAATTATAAGAACCATTTGAAAGTTTCTTGAAAATTGAGACTGCAATACCCCAATGGAAAATGACACATCAATTCAACAAATAGCTCACTAGTGTAATCCATATTTTCAGAAACTTTTTAAAAAATAATCAAACAAATTTTATCTAAATTATTTTTAAAAATTCAAAAATATGTTAAAAGTGCTTCCACATTTTTTTTTCATTTCTCGTCTTTTATTTTATTTTATTTTTTTAAAATCATTATTCAAATCTATAATCCAACACAATCTAAAAATAACTTGAAAAAATAAAATAAAATAAAATCTAATGTATTTTGCATTCCTGAGAACAACGATCCTCCTCTAACTTGATCCACTTTATAGAAAATTATTAAGTATTTTTAAAGTATCATGTATTCATATTCTTGTACCAATCATCATTTATTATATTTTTTCATAGTACTTAATATAAAATTATAACATCTCATATTCTCTTTCAATTATAATATTATAAAATATTACATAACCGTACATATTGTTCTATTTATATTTTCTACAATAGATTTTATGATTATTTCTTGACTGTAGAATTATTGGTCCCTCCAAGGAAAAGAGGTGTCCAAATCAATGGAAAATCATTGGGTAGCTTGTGACATATCTATATAGGTATTATCTTTATATTTATAACGTTTCGTTTGACAATTACATATTTTAGTTAAAAAATTTTTAAGATTATTATAAATTATCATATTATTTTTTTTATTTTTTTACATATTTTTTTATAAAAAATCAAGAAGTTATTAAAATAATTATTCTCAAACGAGACTACCAAAAAGTCAAAAAATCATTATAAGTTGTCATATTATTCTTTCTATTTTTTACATATTTTTTTCGTAAAAAGTTAAAAAATTACTAAAATAATTTGTTCTCAAACGAGACTTAAATAAATTTATAATAAATTAGTAGCAATACGCGATTTATGTGCAATTCAAATAAGTAAAAATAAAAAATAATAATAATAAAATTCAGTGTGTTTTGTTTGAGTTTTTTGGATTAAGTTTTTTGAAAATTGACTTTTTTTAGTTTTCATGTTTTTTTGTTTTTAGTGAATATTTTTTAAATTTTAAACATTTTTTTTACTTTTTTAGATGCACCTTACTTAGATCTATCTAAAAAGTAAAAAATTTGTGAAAAAATATTTTAAAAAATTAATCAATACATAAAAATACAAAAAATGTACTGAATTCTTGTATTTTTTTTTTGTATTTTTGGTATTTAGTGAATTTTTAAAAGATTTTTTTTACAATTTTTTTACTTTTTAGGTGTATTTATGTTAGGTGTGTCTAAAAAGTAAAAAAATTGTTTAAAATATTAAAAAAATTTAGTAAAAATAAAAAAACACGAAAAATAAGAAAGTAGAATTTTCTGAAAAGTATTTTTTGAAAAATGGAAACAAGCATGGTCATTAATATTATAATATGTACTCAGCTTAATGGTATGAGCATTTACGTATAGGTCTTAATAGGTGCATATAATAATTAATGACTTTTTTTATCAAATATTATTTAAAAAAATGTTATTAATTGTTAATTTTCAGTGATAGTTTAAAAATTGTCACAAAAAATGTCATTAATTATAAGTTTTAACAATTGTTTAAAAAAATCGTCATAGAAAAGCCACTAATTTTTAATTTTTAGCGACAATTTGAAAAATTTATCACAAAAAAAGTTATTAATTGTAAGTTTTAGTGACAATTTATAAAAACCGTTATAAAAAAGTCACTAATGATCAATTTTTAGCGACATGCAAAAAATCGTCACAAAAAATTATTTTTAACGACCATTTTACTAAGATTTGTTTTCAATAAGACTTGATGGAAATTAAGTCCAACTATTATGACCTATATTATTTATTATAAATGCGTATGAGTCCTCTTATCATAAACCCATGGGGAGAACAAAAGTTTCATTACTCCAGTTGAGACATTCACTTAATAATATAGATAGATAGATAAATAGAAATAGGAGATTGTAAATGTGCACAATTACATCATAGAATTAGACATAATCTTTTTATATGAAATGAATACCACTAACAAAAAAGATATGCACCCATAAATAGTGGATGTATGTTTGAGATTGAACTTGACATATTGTGTACTTCTATCAACAAATGAATCTAATTTATACAATTCAAATTTTTGATTTTTAGATTTTTTTTTTTTTTTTGAATTTATAGCATTGTCTCTCTAAAAGTTATTTTGGGTATAAACTTGTTATAAAAAGACGTATCAAAAAATAAAAAAATAATATAATTTAAATAAATCAATAAACAACTTATTTATAATGTTAGCAAATCAACTTATACTCAATTTTAAGAGAGTTGCATCCCAAACGTAGAAGAAGTGAACAATTAATTCAGATCCAGTGCTATATCATGCAAAACACTGCATATGCCAAATGCATATAAATGTGGACAATGACTGGTGATGAAATCCTTGCCTAGTTTTGAAGCGGAAAAATGTCTGGGAGCACTAATTAGTGCTCCCACAAATTTGGGGGCGGTGGGTCTCGCCAT